GACCATTTCACTACTGACCATTCAATATTAGCACTGATCATTTGCCTATTTTTTTACTGACCATTTCATTTATTTTACTGACCAGAAATTATCTTCCCATTATTTAAACGATGATTTTGAACAAGTGGTTGATGAAAAGATTCTTGAATAGATTGTGTTAATACTGGATGAACCGTTAAACTAGTTAAATACGAATTGAAAATTGAATCTCAGATTAACAAAATAAAGTTTATCTAACTGTTTTAGTATCTGCATAGATTTTTATTCTTCTTTTTGATGAAGTTACTCGTTGAAAGCGACAGTTAATATTTTGTAGAGTGATATACTTTTCTTCCCATGGAATAAAAAACGTGGCAAAAATGATGCAAATTACATCATTTTAATGAAACTTTTGTTAGAGAAAAATGATGTCGAAAATGAAAAAAATGCTATTTTTCATCGTGAAACGGACATTTTCTTGCATGTATTTCAAATTCGGGTGTGGGTGTGGGGTGTGAACTTCTTTTTCAATCACATCCACACCCTTTTGAAAACTAGTCGAATCGAATCGAATGAAAGAGTTCAAAAAATGAGACGAATCGAATCAAATCGAATCCGAGTGCAACTTTTGTCATTCGTTTCGAATTCTGGTTCCAATCGACAAATCTACATGATAATCAACAGGATTTTTATAATAACACGACTCACATTTATTATAATAGCTATTTTGATCGACAAATTCCATCCAATATTATTTTACCAAGCATTGAAGATCTTCATATAGGACTTCCCATAAATAATCAATTTTGGTCTATGATTCCAAGTTTAAAACGACTCCATTCACTTAGAATATCGTCTTATACTGATGATTTGTATTCTGATTTACAACATTTACTTAATCAAGCACATAATCTCTCTAGATTAGCTATTGGTCAAGATGCTTGTTAGCGGTGATTCACCCTCACTCCTGCCCCTTGATGCTTTTCCATCTCTCTCCCTTATCCTTCATTGTTGTTATTGTTGTCTCTCCTTCTTTTCTTCTTTATTCTCTCTTTTGTTTGTATTGCGCAATATATATTTACGCGTTATTAAGGACATACACAGATCTATATACAATAAAATAAAATAAACATAAGCTCGTAAAAACGAGCTAACAATGATCGATATAATCAATTCACCAGCGAAGAACATTTTTTAGATCATTTATCCACCTTATTGCATGCTCTTAAATCTCGAGTATTTTCAAATGACGTCAATTGTCAATTAGCAGTCATCATTTTAGTGGAAAATGAAATGTCTTAAGGATTAAGCTGAGAAAAATATGACGTGAGGATTAATAGCTTTTTTTTATCTTTTCTTCATTCAAACACGTTGAAAGTCAGAAGATGAATGAAGCAACAGTGCAATTGACACGATGGCCCATGATAGCACTGCTGGTGACCGGTCAGACAAGTAATATATTAAGTATTCTTGCACTTTCTCGACCGAAACTACGAAAAAATTCGTGTTCTCTTTATTTACTTGCTGCGAGTATTAGCAATGCAACGTTTCTCTTCCTCGGTCTCATCATTAGTGGCCTTAACAAGGGTTTTGGTATAAATATTCTCAGTCGATCTTCTTTCCTTTGTAAACTTATACCATATTTTTATTACGGTACACTCTTTCTTGCTTCTTGGTTCATTCTCATTGCATGCATCGACCGATATTGTTCCACTCACCAACGAGTTCATATTCGTCGACTTAGTCAAGTCAAAATAGCCAAATGGGTTATAGTCATGACTACATTAATCTGTTGTATTATTCACATTCATCTTATAATCGAATTAACATTCTTTGGAATCGGTCTATGCACAATTCTGTCATATGCTTATATACTCTTTCTCTACAGCTATATTATGGCTGTCTATGCATTTATGACACCAATTCTCTATATTATCTTTGCTTTACTCACCATTTCAAATGTGAAGAAGACAAAGAGAATAATGGTTAATGCGGCCAGCAGAAATGGAGTACGTATTCAACCACACATTCCACATCAATCACTTAATGCTCAACTTCTTCGCATGATTCTTGTCCAAGTAAGAAAAATTTACGTCATATCTAATATAGTAACTGTTTCTCTTTATAGGTAGTGTCCTTTGTTGCGTTGACTATGCCATTTTCAGCATGGGGTGTCTATGCTGGTGTCAGTCTTAATTGGAGAAAATCACAGTGGAGACGCGATCTGGAGGCTCTTCTCTCTGTTTGTTTTACTTTCTTAGTCTATGCCAATAATGGCTTATCTTGCATTGTCTACGCACTTACTGCTCGACTCTTTCGTCAAGAACTTCGAGCTCTCTTCCATTGCAGATGGAGAAAATTTTTAAGATATCAACAGCATGGTAACATATTTTTACTTTCTCAACGCGTCGCTCCTGTTCCTGCTCGAATAATGCAATCTAAACGAATTAATAACTATCCATAACAAATAATTGAGTGAAATTTTCATGTTTACAATAAGAATCAGTTTTATTAGCTATACTTTGTAAATATACTCTAATTATAGTTGACTTTTTTTTATCTATGTGTGTGCATCAAATTTATTGTATATATCTTTAGCGTCTATTCTAGTCGTTTGAATCAATGACAAGAAATAATCGGTTTGCTCCTTGTAACATTTCACTTTTAAGACAATGTACAAAAGTATATACGATAAGAAGTTTTTTGTACTCAGAATGTCTTGGAAACTGTAATATAGGGACAATATCATTGTTGTTATATGCCGTTTTCTTTCTTTCTGTTCTTTGACTTCTTCGATGACTCATCGCAGATATATATATATAGGTCGTACGAAGTGAACCAAACTTGGCGTGAGCCTGGTAATGATAATCGGCCAAAGCTAAAATTTAAGACCGAAGTAGTCTAATTCATTGATTGGCTATTTTATTGATGTAGATCTAATGCACTAAAAGTGCCATTAATCGTATGAGATGGCGCATTTATACGAAACTTATTAAACGTGTTCGTACGAAAATTATTTTTTTTATTAATGTGGCACCTAAAATTAGTACAATTACGATTTATTCGAGAGAGAAACGTATTGTACATTTGATTAGTCTTAGACATCTCACTAAGTTGAGCTGTCACCAAGAGGACAAGCGAGTTATCAAAAGACTGTTATATGTTAATCATTTACAAGATAAACTATGGACTGCGGCTATTGGTTTACTGAATATTTCGAAACGACAAATCAGTGTATTAGATCGCCTCGGTCTTTGGCTTCGGCTTCGGTCGATTATCATTACCCACGTGAGCCAAAGTGTAGTCCGTAGTCCACATTATATCAATATGTGTATATATATCATAGAAAGTTACCGATAGCTATCACTATATGCTAACTATGAGTTATATGTAAATTCTAAATGAACTTCTTCAATAACTTTTAGTTCATTGGGTTTCAAGAGAACACAAGATTTTTTTGAGTTCTACGATAAATAGAGAATGCAACATTGTAAACTGAACCTAATCAATGTTCGTATCTAATTTGTTTGTAAGTTTTCAATGAGAATATCATCATCAGTGTTGAAAACAAATTAATTCTATGTGATCGGTACATTTAGATAAGATTAATTGGGCATCACTTTTTTTATAACTGACGTTTTATTTTAAAAGTATAGGAATCATTTAGAGTATTACAAGCACAGTTACGAAAAGAATCATATAAAAAAGATAATTGACCAAAAAACATTTTAACAGCGTGGGTGTGGGAAAAAGTCTAGAATGTCCTTTAAAAAAATGTCCTTGACGAAATGTTCTCGCATTTTGGTCATCGAAAAAATGTCTTCCGTCCAAGTGTGCTTCGCTAAGAATGTTCATGAAAATTGGCCATTCATAATTTTGTCCTCCGAAAAATTATCCTTCATTATAAAATGTTCTTTCGGTTTAAATATGTTAAGGGCTAGGGAAAAATATATGTGATGCAATTTATTTATATGATAACGGATTAATTTTTTTATTTTTCATTTGAAAAAGAATAAGAAAGTCCACGTAATAAATCTTGAGCAGTAATTTGATTACTGTTAGATCGATCGTATAATACTCTCGTTCGTTGTTCAGCTACTCGGGATTCGTATCGCTTTGTACGAGGTTGCATTCTACAATTTATTTGAGTAATTAAATCACGGACGGTGCTCACTTCTTTTCGAATCGAATCAATGAAAAGCCGTAAATTAGGATGAGCTTTATTTAAACGTCTTTTGAACCTATGGTTGTAGCCTAAAAAAATTCGACGGTCATCTCACTTTAAAGTTGAAAGTAATAAGTTTCTTTCGCATACCTTCGCTAAAATTATTTGTTTTTTCAGGAACATCGAAAACATTCCATAGTGATATTTGATACATCCCGTAATCATTAAAATACTTAAATAAATCATTTAATTCATTTCGTTCATAATCATTTAATTCTTGACCAAGACCAGAAAATAATGCTGAAACATATTGTTCAGGTACTAAAGCTAGTGCCATCATTTGTCGAATAACACTTCGGATCATAATATTGTCTGAATAGCTCGATGATAAACCAAGTGATCGAACTTTTCGATAGACTGCTTGCAAAAAAGTGAAAAGAAACACCCGTTTTGAACGGTTTTTTCACAGAACTATGAAATAGAAGACATTCGGATTTTAGTCAGAGGGTTTTGAAAAGTTGTTTACCTCTAGAGCAATTGCTTTTGCAATATCTGGTTCGAAATCAGTCATAATCAGTAAGGGATCGAATTTTGTACGAAGCTTTTCTGCTTCAGAAAATAAAACATTAAATAAATGAACATAGGTTATTGCTTTACGATCAGGAAGTAGTGCATACACCACTGGTACACCTATCGTGATGAAAACAAAATCAGATGAGAATATGAAAATTAAATATTTCATCAATAGGTATAGCTTACATGTTCCATGCTGAATTGCTTGAATAATGAATACTTGATCGAAGTGTCATGGAGCAGTATAGAATGTACCATCCATGTACAATATTTCACTACCAAATAACAGCTGAAGTTGAACATTTGATGACCAAACTAAAATTCTTCCTGCAGAACGTACACTTCCTGACCGATTGATTTGAAATTCGGGATCATTACTATCATATATTAATAAACATTCTTTATTAAGATAATCTTTGGTATATGTTTCTGGTATTAAAAAAGAAGACGATGCTGGTATTGTAGAAATCATTTTACAATGGGTATGTACTAAGTTATGACCTGATACAGGCATTACGTGTAACGGTACCAAATCAATTTCAACTCTCTGCCTCATTGTTTCTCCTAAATTTCGTATCTCGGTTTCAGCTGAATTTGGTAAATGTGTATGATCCTTCTCTCTTACTGAGTAACGTAAGAATTCATCATTGGGGTTCGTATGTAAAAGCATACCACAAGTTCTATTGGCACACCGCCAAAATTTGATTGTTCTATTTTTATTAAAATTTTTCAACTGAAAATTGTAATCATCAATAACTAGGATCGATTTTCGTTTATTTGATTTTGTTTTTGTAATGACTGGTTTAGTTGAAGTTGAAGAAGACGATGGATATTTATTTGAATCAGAAGAGGACGAAGATGTGTTATCCATCATCACTATGTTTTTCGAAGCCATTTAAAAATATTTTATTTACAAATAGTTGGTATACAGCGTAATATATAGGCCGAATCGGTCCTAATTTAAAAATGATTTTTCGTTCTTGCTCATTTGATCGATACAGAAATGAATCATCTTTTAAAAATAAAACTTACATATCTTACGAACTATGCTAGAATTGCAGCGTCATCTGCCTTCCAATAGGATGATACTGAAGTAGCGTATGTTCTGGACGAAGGACATTTTTCCTAAGGATATATTTACTAAAGACATTTTTGCCAAGCACATTTTCTAAAGGACTAATTTTCGAGGACATTTTTTTCGGAAACGAAAACTCGAGGACATTTTGTCAAGGACATTTCCCAAAGGACATTTTAGCATGAATTCTGGGTGTGGGTGGGTGTGGATAAACTCTTACCTACACTCAAACCCACACCCACACCCTCAAGAAAAATTACATTCAACAAATAATAGAAATACACTATTGTGTAGAGAATTTCATGCTTTATCGTTTGAGACGTTCTGCGCTTCATACCGTCAAATGATGGAGGAGAAATTCGCAAAATACGATCAGGATTTAAAAAATCGATTTTTAGCATATGATCCGAGAAGTCGAAAAAATGGGGTACCTGCTATCTTCTTATAGATAAATCAAAATGAGTTGATATTTTAGTTTCCTAAGTAACTTTTTATGGACTTTCGAATGAGAATATCAAAGTCAAAATCTAATTTTTTTCCGCCGCCACGATGGTTGATATTCTGGCAGACCGTCTTTTAAAAGGTTCTATAGCCTCTGTTTTATTCACCTCTGTCACTCTATTTCGAACACATGAGAGAAAAATCAAGAACAAAGGAAACGGTATAAATACAGGACTGGCTCGATTAAAGCTTGTCAAGATCGTGACAACATCCCAATCTTTAAAATTTTCCATTTGTTTCAGGAAAATTCAAACATCTCCTTGTGTTCAGTCAGGAAAAAACGATATTATATTCCATATAGAACTAATCACAACCTGCCGAACTTTCAGTAAAATCCCTCAATATTGGCTGCTTTGGGCTAGCCCTGGAAGAAATAAAAAAAACAGCAAATTAGTGCTCTTATGCGTATCGTCAACGCGCTTTTCGATACACGTGTATGTAGATGGGCAACTGACGTTGGCTTATGAAACATTTGGTATCCGCGAATAGACTTTGAAAAAAAACCTTTATGTAATCAAGGTTCGTTAGTTAAATATAGATACGTTATCTATTTGCTTTGCTTATCGTCATAGATATAAAAGTTAACAAGAGTTGGAGTTTCATAATTCATAAAAAAAAGTTTATGTTTTGATGAAATGAGGTGGATCATTGTTTTGTTGTTCTCGTTTTTTATTATTTTTGCCGTAGCCGATCACCATTTAAATGCCAATGGTTCTTTTGGCAAACGCCATACAATAAATAGCGAGCCAAGTCCATATGCCTGTAATAGACCTGATGGCATATTTTTTTCTTCTTCTGCGATGGCGACCATATCAAGTTTAAATGTATCAGCTGTGACTTATTTCAGTGTCGAGCAAATCATAGTTACGTGGACACCAACATTAAACTTATGTAAAGATGATTTCATTGGAATTTACTTTGTTGAGATTCCTCTTGAGAAAGGTAAACTTGTCACTTCTCTATGTTTTACTGATATATGAAAATGAATAAAATTAATATTACTCTAGCTTGCGACTATTTTGATTATGAATTTGTTCAAGATCAACAAAGTAGTATGTCATGGCAAATGATTAATCTGCGTCGTTCATTAGAATTTCGCTACTATTCACGTGATCATAATTGTACAGGCAATTATACTCTTATGGCTATATCTCCAAATATTCAGCCAATGAATTATAATGAACCAACGCATATTCATTTAGCATATGGTGATCGTATCGAGCAAATCTTTGTTTCATATTTAACGAATTCATCACAATATACTCCTCAGTGTCAATATGGATTAACTCCATCATCTCTCATTTTTTATCAAAATGGGTCAACAACGACTTACACAGCATCAGATATGTGTGAAGGAAAAGCAAATACATGGGGCCCACAAACATTTATTGATCCAGGATGTATGCATACAATATTATTAGAAGATCTTCGTCCATCAACAACCTACTTTTATCGTGTTGGAACGGATGCACATGGATGGTCAAGCATCTATTCATTTACAAATCGTCCAGCAAAAAAAGATGAATCAATATATATGATTGCATATGGTGATTTAGGTCTATCACCCGTTGAACCAGGTGCAAAAAGTACGATTGATCGAGTTACAGCACGAGTGGCATCAAAAAATATTACCTGTCTATTACATATTGGTGATATTAGTTATGCTCGAGGTGTCGGTGCTCAATGGGATGCATTTATGACACAAATTCAACCCATAGCAGCTTATGTACCTTATATGGTGGGTATTGGTAATCATGAATATGATCATAAAACTGGAGGAGATAAAGATCCAAGTGGTGCAATGGGTCCTGGCGGATTTCAACCTGAATGGTTAGTAACACTTTGAATTGTCAATCATATATATGTTTTGTATAATGAATTATTCTGTTTCAACTTTGTCTAATTTTAGGGGTGATTATGGTACTGATTCCGGTGGTGAATGTGCCGTACCTATGGTTCATCGTTTTCATTCACCATCCAACGGCAATAGTCTCTTTTGGTATAGTTTTGATGTAGGTCCAGTTCATATTGTTTACTATTCAACAGAACATGATTTTCGTCATACATCACCACAATATGTATGGCTTGAAAATGATCTTCGTTCAGTAAATCGTTCTCGTACACCATGGATTATTGTTGGTGCACATCGACATATGTATTCATCGCAAAATGATTCTATTGGTGAAAATGAAGTAAAACTTATGCTTCAATTGTATTTAGAAGAATTATTCTATAAATATCATGTTGATGTTAATCTCTTTGCACATCGACATTCATATGAACGAACATGTCCAATGTTTCAAGAAAAATGTGTATCAGATGGTATAACACATGTCTTAATTGGTATGGCTGGTCAAAATTTAGATTCTGGTTCATATTCACCTGTTGCATGGAGTAAATATCATGATCAACAATTTGGATATACGACAATATTTGTAAATCAAACTTATTTACATTTAACATATTATCACGATAGTGACGATGATATTGCAGATGAATTTGTAATTCAAAAATAATATTTCGATACATAAAAATTGTATTTCTATTTCTTTTCTGTTTATGAAATAAAGGTTTTCAGATATTAAAAGACACTTCTCAATATATGATGAGGCTTAAACTAAATGATATTGTTGATTATAAGATTAAAGTAATTAATACACGGCAAAACTTTCACTCATATATGAACGAGTTCATCTTGTATATAATTAGAAGGTAGAAAATCTTGATATTATTATCACACATGCCATTCTATGACAACTTATTCCTCATGTTTAGTTTTGATCTTTTTTTTTGTCATTATTACTATTCAGATTTATTAACTAATTAAGAAAAGTAAAATAAGTTTTCATATAAAATCAGCTTATCAACCTACTACATCTGATAGATTACATCATAAAATTTCTTTCATCACCAATCAATAGAAATTAGTCAAATAGTTAATAAGTACGATCAACAAAATTCAACTAGCAGATTGATCATCTGAATTTCTTGTAATTGAGTATTATTGACATTCACTCTAACAGCAAGCAAAAGAGCACAACAAGCCTATCAAAGAAAGAATTAAAAGTGAAACTCGATCAGAGATATCATGCAATCTAACAGAATACTATCTAACAAAGTATTTCATATACTTCTATTTTATTCAACAAAAGAAACTAGTAACTAATAAAAAATGATATATTTATTTAATATAATACTTAATCATCTTTCTTGATTGTATGTTTATGTTCAGAAATAAATAAATGAATTGATTGAAAAAGTTACAAAACATAGTTGATCTAGAAAATCTCCTATATGATTACACAAATAAATGTATCCACATATTTTATATTTGATATCTAGGATCAATTCTTTTGAAATATATATTTTATTTTTTTCATTAATTATTTAAAAGTTTAATTTGCTTTGATACTGACTATACTGTTGACATATGTGTCAAGCTTAAAAGTTAATTTCAATTATTCAATATTTTAAATCTAAGAAGCTGGGGTTTCCCAGTATTTAATAATGCATTAATATATCATCATCAGGCGTCTTATTCGAAATACGTGAATATTTCAATTATTAAATTTAACTTTCAACTTTGATACTATTCTTCTCTTTATTTTAATTTGAAAAAATAAATTAAAGATAAAAAAATCAAACTTAGGTGAGACTAACTACCACAAAATAGGTATTTTGAAATTGTTTGAATCCAATCAAGTATCATCAGTATTGATATACATAACTCTCTAGTGGTCTGTCAACCCATGTAAAAAAAACGACTCAAAATTAGATTATAATGGATTATTTTCGGATTAATAATCTATTATAATGGCACTATTTTAATCTGATTAAAATCAGATTTTTCAGTATTCAAAGAACACCTCATTTTGATCTCACTCT